GGATTGCATTGAATCTGTAGATTGCTTTGGGTAGTATACTCATTTTCACAGTATTGATTCTTCCAATGCAAGAACATAGTATATCTCTCCATCTGTATCATCTTTAATTTCTTCCATCAGTGTCTTATAGTTATCTGCATACAGGTCTTTTTTCTCCCTAGGTAGGTTTATTCCTAGGTATTTTATTCCTTTTGTTGCAATGGTAAATGGGAGTGTTTCCTTAATTTCACTTTCAGATTTTTCATAATTAGTGTATAGGAATGCAAGAGATTTCTGTGCATTAACTTTGTATCCTGCAACTTTACCAAATTCATTGATTAGCTCCAGTAGTTTTCTGGTGGCATCTTTAGGATTCTCTGTGTATAATATCATGTCATCTGCAGACAGTGACAGTTTTACTTCTTCTTTTCCAATTTGTATTCCTTTTATTTGTTTTTCTTCTCTGACTGCTGTGGCTAGGACTTCCAAAAGTATGTTGAATAATAGTGATGAGAGTGGACATCCTTGTCTTGTTTCTGATCTTAGAGGAAATGCTTTCAGTTTTTCACCATTGAGAATGATGTTTGCTGTGGGTTTGTCGTATATAGCCCTTATTATGTTGAGGTAGGTTCCCTCTATGCCCACTTTCTGGAGAGTTTTTATCATAAATGGGTGTTGAATTTTGTCAGAAGCTTTTTCTGCATCTGTTGAGACGATCATATGGTTTTTATTCTTCAATTTGTTAATATGGTGTATCACATTGATTGATTTACTTATATTGAAGAATCCTTGCATCCCTGGGATAAACCCCACTTGATCATGGTGTATGATCCTTTTAATGTGTTGTTTCATTCTGTTTGCTAGTATTTTGTCGAGGATTTTTGCATCTATATTGATCAGTGATATTGGTCTATAATTTTCTTTTTTTTTTAGTATCTTTGTCTGGTTTTGGTATCAGGGTGATGGTGGCCTCATAGAATGAGTTTGGGAGTGTTCCTTCCTCTGCAATTTCTTGGAAGGGTTTGAGAAGGATGGGTGTTAGCTCTTCTCTAAATGTTTGATAGAATTCACCTGTGAAGCCATCTGGTCCTGGACTTTTGTTTGTTGGAAGATTTTTAATCCAGTTTTAATTTCATTACTTGTGATTGGTCTGTTCATATTTTCTATTTCTTCCTGGTTCAGTCTGGAAGGTTATCCCTTTCCAAGAATTTGTCCATTTCTTCCAGGTTGTCCATTTTATTGGCATAGAGTTGCTTGTAGTAGTCTTTAGGATGCTTTGTGTTTCTGCGGTGTCTATTGTAACTTCTCCTTTTTCGCTTCTAATTTTATTGATTTGAGTCCTCTCCCTCTTTTTCTTGGTGAGTCTGGCTAATGGTTTATCAATTTTGTTTATCTTCTCAAAGAACCAGCTTTTAGTTTTATTGACCTTTGCTATTGTTTTCTTTGTTTCTATTTCATTTATTTCTGCTCTGATTTTTATGATTTCTTTCCTTCTGCTAACTTTGGGTTTTGTTTGTTCTTTTTTCTCTACTTCCTTTAGGTGTAAGGTTAGATTGTTTATTTGAGATTTTTCTTGTTTCTTGAGGTAGGATTTTATTCCTATAAAATTCCCTCTTAGAACTGCTTTTGCTGCATCCCATAGGTTTTGGATCGTCTTGTTTTCATTGTCATTTGTCTCTTGGTATTTTTTGATTTCCTCTTTGATTTCTTCAGTGATCTCTTGGTTATTTAGTAATGTATTGTTTAGCCTCCATGTGTTTTTGTTTTTTAGGTTTTTTTTCCCTGTAATTCATTTCTAATCTCCTAGCATTGTGGTCAGAAAAGATGCTGGATATGATTTCAATTTTCTTAAATTAACTGAGGCTTGATTTGTGACCCAAGATGTGATCTATCCTGGAGAATGTTCTGTTGCAGTTGAGAAGAAAGTGTAATCTACTTTTTTTGGATGGAATGTCCTATAAGTATCAATGAAATCTATCTGGTCTATTGTGTCATTTAAAGCTTCTGTTTCCTTATTTATTTTCATTTTGGTTGACCTGTCCCTTTTTATAAGTGAGGTGTTAAAGTCCCCCACTATTATTGTGTTACTGTTGATTTCCTCTTTTACAGCTGTTAGCAGTTGCCTTATGTATTGAGGTGCTCCTATGTTGGGTGCATATATATTTATAATTGTTATATCTTCTTCTTGGATTGATCCCTTGATCATTATGTAGTGTCCTTCTTTGTCTCTTGTAACATTCTTTATTTTAAAGTCTATTTTATCTGATATGAGTATTGCTACTCCAGCTTTCTTTTGATTTCCATTTGCATGGAATATCTTTTTCCATCCCCTCACTTGTGGACAGCATATATATGGGTCTTGTTTTTGTATCCATTCAGCAAGCCTGTGTTTTTTGGTTGGAGCATTTAATCCATTCACGTTTAAGGTAATTATCGATGTGTATGTTCCTATGACCATTTTCTTAATTGTTTTGGGTTTGTTTTTGTAGGTCCTTTTCTTTTGTGTTTCCCACTTAGAGAAGTTCCTTTAGCATTTGTTGTAGAGCTGGTTTGGTGGTGCTGAATTCTCTTAGCTTTTGCTTGTCTGTAAAGCTTTTGATTTCTCCATCGAATCTGAATGAGATCCTTGCCGGGTAGAGTAATCTTGGTTGTAGATTCTTCCCTTTCATCTCTTTAAGTATATCATGCCACTCCCTTCTGGCTTGTAGAGTTTCTGCTGAGAAATCAGCTGTTAACCTTATGGGAGTTCCCTTGTATGTTATTTGTTGTTTTTCCCTTGCTGCTTTCAATACTTTTTCTTTGTCTTTAATTTTTGCCAATTTGATTACTATGTGTCTTGGCGTGTTTCTCCTTGGGTTTATCCTGTATGGGACTCTCTGTGCCTCCTGGACTTGGGTGGCTATTTCCTTTCCCTTGTTAGGGAAGTTTTCGACTATAATCTCTTCAAATTTAGTAAACTTATATAATTCATTTTAGAGTGTGGATTTGGTTTTCCTGCAGCCATCCAGGGGGATCATAAGCGGCTGTAAGAATGTATATAAAACTTGAAAAATCCTGCCATGCAATTCTGATATGAAATTCATGGGTAGGCATATTGTGTGATAATGAAATTTCAGTTTTTGGAGTCTCCATAATGTGGATTTGAATCTTGATTCCATCATTTGCTAGCTCTGTGACCTTGATCAGGTGACTTAGGCCTCAGAGTTTGTGTTCCCATCTAAAAGTCAGGATGATAATAACAATATCTATTTCAAATGGTTGATTCAGTTAAAAGAAACATATAAAGCACAGCAGACACTATGTAGTGCAGAGCAAGTACTCAAGAAATGTTGGCTATAAATGGGCAGTCTGGAAAGACCACATGGGATGTAATATAGATTGATCAGACCTACCCATCCTCATATGCAGGAAACAAAATCAAGGTGTAGATCTGATTGCAGCCACCAGAGTTGGTGAAAGCACAGTGCCAGTGCTGGTCTTTCAGCGACTTGGGCCATTCAGCTTCTGCACGTGGACTCTGTACTCTCACCTGGACCCACTGAAACCACCTGCAGAGGAGGGCAATGTTGTGGGCAGGGCTCAGGAGTGACATGGCCCATCACTACCACTGATTACCTGTGTGACCTTAGGAAGACTACTTTATTTTTGTGCTTATGCTACCTCAGTTGAAAAGCGGCGATAGTTAATAACAGTACTCTCCTCATAGGGTTGTTATGTAGATTATATGAGCTAATCTGTTTAGAGCATTTTTGTTTTGTTTTGTTTTGTTTTGTTTTACATCTTTATTGGAGTATAATTGCTTTACAATGGTGTGTTAGTTTCTGCTTTATAACAAAGTGAATCAGCTATACATATACATATATCCCCATATCTCTTCCCTCTTGCGGCTCCCTCGCTCCCACCCTACCTATCCCACCCCTCTAGGTGGTCACAAAGCACGGAGCTGATCTCCCTGTGCTATGCGGCTGCTTCCCACTAGCTATCTACCTTACATTTGGTAGTGTATATATGTCCATGCCTCTCTCTCACTTTGTCACAGCTTACCCTTCCCCCTCCCCATATCCTCAAGTCCATTCTCTGTTTAGAGCATTTTTAAGAGTGTTTGGCACATAGCATGAACTCAAAAAACTATAGTAAAAATAATAGGAATATGATAATTATCATGATAACGTTCAAACAGACCTGTAGAATTCCAAAGTCTACTTTTCCTGATAAAAGCTTTGCAGAGTGGATTTATGGAAAGAAAATGAGAAGAAGAAAATTAGGAGCAGATAGGTTAGAGGTGGGAGAGAAAAGTCAAGAAAATTTGCAATGGGGATAACTCAAAGTATACGCAGTACTAAAAGGGTGAAGTTTTGAATAACGAATGCAAGATAGAAGAAGAAAGCTTCAATATGGAAATATAATATTCAACCCAGAAGTTGTATCAAAAAAACTCTTGCATTAAGTGATCCCTCAATAGACATTTGAAAAAAAAAAAAGGACATTTGATGAATTGACTGGTTAATTAAATGTGATTTAGTACTAAATACTTTAGCCAATAACCTGAAGCCTGGCTCTTTGGACAGAGTGAGGGCTGAGAATAACATGCGGTCTTCTTATGATCTTCTGAATAAGGCTAGAGGCAATACAATGGATGCTTCTCTGTCTCTGTGTTTCTGTGTGTGTGTATACACAGAGATTATTGTCAAAGCTATTTGTTGCTAAGCAAAGATAATGAAAGGGATTGTTGAAACTCTAAGTGCTTAATAGCTTAATATGGTTACCCATAAACATTCACGTCCACCTCTTCTCTTAATAAACAGGCACCTGAGTGCAGGTCAACCTGCTCTTCATCCATTTTCAGCACTGAGGAGGGAGGGAAGCTTGCTGTGGAAGATAAAGAAAGGTGTGGGTTATTTGGAATCTTTTCTTCTGGCACTTCTTTAGCTAGTTGGACATTCCATGACCCCTGTGACACAGTCTAGCCAATTTTGGACTCCATCATCTTCTCTCTTTCCAGCATCCAGAGAGACTCCAGCTGTTTCCCAGACCTGTCCAGGGTGAACGACATCACCCACTTTGAAATGCAGCTCCAGGGATGCAAAATGTATTTTTTAAAAAGTTATTTGGTGAGGGAAGGTCCTGAGGTCCAAGTTTCTCTCAGTCAGTGCAAATCTGACCTCTGCTCTGTCCTCTGGCCTCGTTCTGAAAAGATGAACAAATGGAGAACCGTGAGTATCTACTAAGAAGCAGAGGAGTGCCAGGTCCTCTGACCCGGATCATCACCTTCTGTTCCATTCAGTATATCCTTTTATGGTGTATCTGTTAAACAATAAAGCTAATAAATCTCTACTTTCTTTAAAGTCAAAGAAATTGGAATTAGAACTTTGTAATTGGCAACCATAAAACTGGGAAGGAACCCACACAGCCTAGGAAGGGAGAATAAAGAGAAAGCAGAACCACCCGCTTCTTGGTGCAATGATAGCAGACACGTGGACAATGTGGAGTTACACAATCCAAATTTGCTTTCATTTCATCTCTCAGGAAAAGCTTACTACAAACAGGGAGGGACCAAGCTCACAGGAGACAGATGCCCAATATGAGAGAGCGGTTATTATGGAACACGAACCCAGTTTGTCTCTTGGTCCAAGTGAATTATACTTCAGGCTCTGGAGCAAGTGTGAGGATGAATCCCTGTCTGGGATAATTAAGCAGGACGTTTGTGAGTATTTCACGGGAGTAATTGCTGGGAGAGAGCATGGGCTTACTAAGAATAAGTCATGCCAGTTGAATCTTATTTTCTTTTGCTAAAGGCAACTACCTGGCAAGGAACTGAATCAAACAAAGTGCCAATTAATAGGAAGTTCTGCCATTAGGAATCCCAAACCACTTCCCAAGTACAGAATCTAGGTCTTGGGAGTAGGAGTGACAATGTGGTCTAAGAATGGCATGAAAGACTTATGGGACTTCTATTTTTCCAGCTTTATGGAGGAATAAAGATAAAATTGTATATATTTAAAGTGTACATGATGATTTGATATACATATGAATCTTGAAATGATTACCAAGGTTAAGATCAAGTTACCACATCCATCACCTTTTAACTTTTTATTAAACTTAATTTTTTTGTGGTGAGAGTGTTTAAGAGTTACTCTCAGTATAGTCAACATGTGTACATTGGATCTTTATAACAGAATTTGTACCCTTTGACCTATATGTCCCCATTTTACCCATCCCTAACCCCTAGCAACCATCATTCTACTCTGTTTCTATGAAGATCGTAGAAACATAGAAAATCAAGAAGGATTTTCTTCTTTTTAAGGTTGAATAATATGCCATTGTGTATGAGTGTGTGTGTTTGTGTGTGTATATATATATACAATATTTTCTCTATCCATTCATCCATTCATGGACACCTAGTTTGTTTCCATGTCTTGGCTATTTTGAATATGCTGCAATGGACATGGGGGTGAAGATATTTCTTCAAGTTAGTGATTTCATTTCCTTCAGATAAATACCCAGAAGTGGGATAGCTGGATCATACGGCAGTTCTATTTCTGATTTTTTGAGGAACAGCCATAGTTCCATAGTTGCTGCCTCAATTTACATTCCCACCAACAGTGCGCCAGGATTCCTTTTCCTACGTTCCTGCCAATCACCATTCTGATACTGGAATATCACTTCTACACATTTTGTTGGTTAAAATAAAACTCTCCTAAATAAAATAAAACTGTCCTAAAACTCTGGGCTTGCAATTCTAAGTGTCATCAGGGGCTCACCACGTATAACCCAGGTCAGTTTTTGGAACTTCTATGGCTTTCATTCTTTCTCATTCCATTAGCTGCAGTCTTGTCAATTCACACCTGAAATGGTTTTCAAATTTGCTCCTCCTCACCATTACTCCACCAGCCCTATAGCATCCACACTCTCTCCCCCACTTCTCTAAGAGTTCCCTCCTTTCAAAGACCAGCTTCTCAGCTGCATGGCACAGAGCAGCTCAGCTCGGTGCTTTGTGACCACCTAGAGCAGTGGGATAGGGAGGGTGGGAGGGAGACTCAAGAGGGAGGGGAGATATGGGGATATATGTATACACAGAGCTGATTCACTTTGTTATACAGCAGAAACTAACACAACATTGTAAAGCAATTATACTCCAATAAAGATGTTTTAAAAAAAAAAAAGACCAGCTTCTGCTCTACCTCCTCCGAAGGCTCTCTCTCTCTCTCAGTGAATTTATTTTCCCTCCTAGTTTTCCTAGGGCAGAGAGCCTACTTGCCTTTTCACAACTCTCTGAAGTTAGCTTTACCTTTACAATTCTGCATTTTCTCTGCTATTCTAATGTAAGGTCCTTGAGGCCCCAGCGCCGTGTACAGCAGTATTCTAAAGCTTGTCTGTTGGGTGAACACTCTTTGGCATTCTGAACTACCTTTCTGCACAATATGATTTGCTATGAGATATCCCTAGCAACAGCACAGCCTTACGGCTAAAAGTGTCAGTTGTACAGATTCTACTCTGTTTTAGAGCAGGACAATAGTGTTAAGTAAAGGCAAAAAAAAAAAAAAAAAGTCAAGGTTCCCTGCCTCCCCACCTATGAACTTGGACAGGTGCTACTTTCCTGAGTCTCAGGTTTGTCATTGGTAAAATGAGCATAATAGTTATACAGACCTTGCTGGGCTATCGAGGGAATTAAATGAGATTATATAGCTAAAAGATCTGTGGCACAGTGCGCGCGCGC